ACGCAGAGGTTTCACGTTCGATCCTGCGCGCCAGATTGTTTTCTCTAGGTTTTTTTCTTTCTCTCGTTTTCGCATATATAGATACGTATATATATATATCCTGCGTGACACCGGCGGCAAAATCCAGCCGAGAGTCTTCATATGATTGCTGTCGCAAGAACATCACTTAGTATTTTGTTGTTTCGCCTTGAACAGCCATTATTGCGGCTATTCTGCGTGAAATTTTTCGTAATGCTGCCGGCCACAGAAGAACGAGTGAGCGTCTACCGTATTTATTCAATAATAGGCTACGGGTTGTCCTAGTGACATTAATACATGATATCATTTCCATGTTGCATGAAGGAAAGCCTGCCACTCATTTTTTTGTCGACGCAGAAAGCACGAAAAACACTTGTAATGTTTTATGCAGATGTTTATCAGGTATACGAACGCAGGCAAGGTGATATCTCCTAACTAAATCTTCAGTGTTACTTGCACAGTACGAGTACCGTATCGCTTAAGCACGCAGAACGAGAGGGTCGTCTGCTGGTGCCGCAATAGAAGTGGTGCGCAGCGGCGAGCTAGTGCGGTCGACGTGCGAATGGGCGTGAGCCTTGCAGTGCCCCACTGGCAGTGTACACATGGCGAACTACAGGCCGACACTGGCGACCAGAAGGAGTAATGCTGCTCCGTGGGTGTTCTTCCCCTCGCTCTACACCACGATGCAACACACTGGTTCTACGCGCACCCCCGAGCGGCGGCACATGTACCATCGCCCACACGCTCCAAGTGTCCTGACTCAATCAGTGAGTACTGTATCTACTCTTTGTCGTAATCGTCCTCGTTGTAGGTGTCCTCAAAAGGCTCACCTATTTGCCAAGAGGTGTCGCCGATTGCGGTGCAGGTTGTTCCAGTTTCCTGTTGGGACATGGAGGGGTCGAGGCCCAACTGATTATGAACCTTGGCTTTTGTCATCCATGTCTCTCCCCCTATGCGAACAGTGTCATTGCTTTTGAGGCCAGCAAGTACATGTCTTCTGTGGTTGCTCTGCCATTCTTCTTTACTAGCGTGAGAACAAGGAGTCCAAAGTCCGGTATGGCGGTGCGCAAGCGTCTGCCTTGCAGTAGCTCCGCTGGTGATCGGCTATCTTCCAGTGGACTTGTTCTGTAATTCAGGACGCCAAGCCAAATGTTCTCAATCGCCGCTTTCATCTTTTTCAAGATGCGCTTAAATATCTGTACACTTTTCTCAGCAAGGCCATTTGCCTGAGGGTGCTCTGGACTGGATGTGATGTTTAAAATCAAATTGCTGAGCGAATAGCCTGAACTCACAACTGGCGAACTGGGGCCCATTGTCTGTGCAAACTTCGATCAGTATATCATAACGGGAAACTGTGGCTCCCCATCTTTGTATGACGAGACAGCCTGTGGCGCTGGGTACTAATTTAACTTCTGGGAAGTTCGACAATGAGTCATGGGCCCAGAACTAATGCTGGCCACCATATTGAAATAAGTCGACAAGCACGCGACACAACGCTTGAGTTGGTGTTAGATGCATGATTAGTTGTGCTGGCAGCTGCTTATAAGCATAAGTCTGGCATATTGAACAATTGCGAACTAGTCTTTTTATATCACAATTGAGATTGCGCTAGTATACCAACTGCCTTGCTGTGGCGATGCATTTTCCAACGCCGAGATGCCCGGCATGAACACACTTTGACATGTCCGATTGCATGCAACTTGGCACCACGACATTCGTTCCTTTTAGAATGACTCCTTTGACTACTGAGAGTTCGGAAGCAACCGCCTTCAGCAGACCTTCCACAGCGCACCCATTCGCAAGCTTGTGAAGTACCTGCTGAAGGTATACGTCACGTTCGGTCTCACTTGCAAGTCTTGAAATAGTTTTTTTCACTCACGAGTGTCGATACTACTGCGACTCCATGAACTTCGACGTCACGTGTGGGAGGCGCAGCGCTGTCTTCAGATGCCGGTGCTCGGGAAAGCATGTCGGCCACAACCATCTGTTTGCCGGGAACAAAAATGAAGATGTAATCATATTTCAATAACCCCAAAAAGAAACGCTGTACTCTAGGCGGCATGCCAGCAATAGCCTTCTTTGATATGTTAGAGCGAAGGTCGCTTTCAAGAATGAAAGGATGTGCGTATACGAGGTGATAAAACTTTTCGCACCAGAAAACCAACACCAGAGATTATTTTTCTATCGGTGAATAACGTTGCTCGGATTCGTTAAGAGCTCTTGCAGCGTAATCCACATGTCTACAGGTGCTTCCGTGACGTTGCAACAGCGCCGAACCGACACCGTACTGCGAGGCATCCGCCATGACTTTCAATTTTTTGCCTGTTTTGAAAATTGCTAAAAGTGGCGGCTCGCTAAGCTCTCGGCGTATTCGCTCTCATGAGTTGGTGTCCAACCAAAACATCATGCTTCAACAGCAAATGCAAAGTAGAAGTGCACTAAGATAGTGACGGCACATATTTCCCAAACTAGTTGACGACGCCCAAGAGCCTCTGTGCCGCTTATTTCTCTCGTGGTACCGCTGTGTTCAGCAAAGTTTCGACCAAAGCAGGGTCAGGGAGTATTCCCCTGCTGCTGCTGATGTCACCAAGAAAAAAAACTTCTTCAACGCCGAACAATCAATTTGACGCATTGAATGTCAGCCCTACTTTTGCTGCCGCTAGTAGCGCGTTTTCGAGCCTCTCATCGTGTTCTTTCTGGTTAGCAACCCAAATGAGCATGTCGTCAACATATACACGCACGCCAGGCAAACCATGAAATATCTCGTCGAGTGCTTTTTGAAAAACTTCGCTTGCCTATCAAATGCCAAATGGCAGTCGAAGAAACTGATAACGGCCAAAGGGTGCAGCGAACGTGCATATTTTGGAAGCCTGCTCATCGAGTGGTATTTGATGGAACCCGGCGTTAGCGTCCAAGACGACAAAACATCTTTGCTCCTGCCAGCTCTGCATCTATGTCTCTTCGGCGCGGCATCTGGTAATATTCTCGCTTAAGGCATTTAATAAGTTTTTTCGGGTCCATGCATACCCGCAACCTGCTGTATTTTTTAAGCATGATGACCAGTGGGCTTACCCAAACTGTCGGGCAGCTGACTTTTTGTATGATGCCTTGCACTTCCATTCGCTGTAGTTAAGCGTGCAGAGGTTTTCGTGGCGCCACAGGCACTCGTTTGGGTAGCTGAATGACGGGCACGGTCCCCTCGCGAAGGGTGATCCTGTACTCGCGCTGTACATGGTCTGTTTTTGGAAAAATCTGTGGAAATTCATCGATGATCGTGGAAGGATTGTTTGTTATGGCATCAACGTTCCGTTTCATCAGCTCTAGGTCCTCCACAGTTTTCAGACCCAGGAGGGCGCCATGGTCTTTCTTAATCACGAAGAAGTCTCTGTAGACGCTGTGGTCCCCGATGGTCACAAGGGACGAAAATGTACCGAGCTGTTTCATCGTGCCGCCGTTATACGATCGTAGAACCGCGTTGCTTGCTTGCACTATACAGGCTTGAATTCTTCGGAAAAGTGACAGTGGCATGAACTTTGCTTGGGACCCTCTTTCGATCTTGAGGTTGATGTCCTTCCCTGCAATATTTCCTTTCATAATTCAGTCCTGGTCCCTGGTGATGTTTCCAGTGGTGACGTCCAAAACATCGAAGTCGTCGTTTTGGTATGACGTCTTCCTCTCGTCTTTTACCTGACATATGGCTCCGCTTGACTGGCAGCATGACGCAAAATGATTACGCCTCTTGCACAAGTACCAAGTTTTTCCATAGGCTGGACAGTGCCGTGCGGCATAGGATCGGCTGCAGCTGGAGCATTTGAAGTTTCGGCTCGACGATACTGCAAAGACGTGAAGCTCTCCGTCAGTCTTCCGCCACAGCGAGTTTTCACGTGCTGATGTATCCACCGCCTTGCATAAAGCCACGGCTTAGTCCAACGTAAGGCCCTTGTCCCTGAGCTGCTTCTCCCGAAGCTTTGGCGAGTTTGTACCGAACACATTTCGGTCGTGCACCATTTCGTCTATCATCGTTCCATACTTGCAAAAGTGCGCCTGCTTCTCCAGCGCACGGAAGAACTGTGAAATGGGTTCAGCTTCGCTCTGTAGCCAAGATCGGAAGTCGTTGCGCTCGTGAGTTGTATTCTCTTGCTCGACGTAGTATTTCTCGAGCTTGGTCACTACCGTGCCATAGTCTTGCTTGTCTTCGTCTTCATCGAACGTAAGATTGTTGTACACTTCAAGCGCCTCGTCACCAGCCACACTGAAGAAAAGAGTATTTTTTCCTGCCCCTGACCTTGCTTTTTCAGTTCACCCTGTGGCTGCCAAAAAGAAATGAATTTTTTTGCTGGAAGAGCTTATACGTTCTTCGCTCGTTGGTCGAGAGAAAAACCTTGCCCAGTGATACGAGTTGAACGAGGCTTCTCATGCACGTATGTGTGCGTGGGTTCGAATCCCACTTCTGAAACCATATATCAGCCACGTTATATGACACCAGCACGCATGTGAGGACAGTAGCGAACACCTATGTTTATTGTCGTCAGTGTTTTATAGCGAAGCGAGAGAAAGGGGTAGGGGTTTTGTAGATAGTAAAAAAAATAGGCACGTGTAGTGCAACCAAAATATTTGGCTTGCGCTCTTGGGCCTGATACGATACACTTAGGAACAAAAAGTAAGGCAGCGGGGCTATTCAAGAAAAAGCACAGGCAAGGTTTTGATGTGTGAGTTCAATGAAAGTTCAACGTTGCGTGACAATGCCTACAGAAAAGCCTTGCGAAAGAAAATATAGGCCCGGAGAAGGCACAAACTTACTTCGTTCCGGCAGGTACTTATATTCCGGTAGATACTTTTGTGGTGGCCACGCCAGCCGTATGGAGCCACTGGAAATACGTCGGAGTATTGCACCTGAAATCGATAACGCGAGAAATCAGCTTTTGTGGCTTGTGAATGATATTACGCAGCACAGTAACATCCAGATGTTTTTGTCGTCGCAGGAGGACAGATTGTTCCTGGACCTCCAGGACCGCCGGGCCCTCCGGGACCACCTGGTTCTGCGTACATGCCACCCAAGAACACAGTCCCACCACCCTCTATTGTCCCAGGGGTACGGTTTGATAATCTATGAACTCAGTAAAAGTTGATCATACAAGCCAGAAAATCAGCAAATGAATAATGTTCACTGTTCAAGCCCTGAATGCGCTGTTTTTTTTCTTTTGTCGAGCACGAAATTCTACTGCACACACGATGAAAATTTCCAGAGTTTTAGCAACTTATAGAGTGGCATGGTGTTGCGCATTATAATTCTTTTTTCTTTATCTGTGAACTGCAGGCAGTAACCCCTTCCTTTTATAGCCAACTTGAAGCTTAACTGAACAAACATTTGGGGCATGTCATCATGGCTGAGGAACGTGTCCACAGGGCTTCAGCATGGGATGGCCATTATAGCATTAGTTAGTAAAACAAACGAAAGCCAGTCAGCTAGTAGGGGTGTGCTGAACTTTTATTGCCTAACTTTTTTGTGAGTTGAACCTGGCAATAAGAAGATTGGCAAGATTAGTAAAGATGAAGATTTCATAAGATAAATAAGGTTGAAAAGCCAAACAAAAATGACATTTCTGCGTCGATTGTACTTGGTCAGCTGAAAATGGTATATTTACCGCAGTTTTGTGTACCAAATTTAGAATTCATTGTATTTAAACACAAACAGTATATCAGATACACTAAAACTCAATGAAGTTTTACAAGTCTGCCAGAAAGGCTTATTTTGTAAAGTATGCTTTTTTGCTATCCGTTCAGCAATGCTTGCTGCAGTGGTTATGAAAATGTTAGTTACCCCGTCTTCATTTTTTGTCTTGTTTTGCTAGAGCAATGCTGCAACGCTGAATGAATATTTACGTGTCTGATAAAAGTAGAGGCTGAAGTGTGCTGTTGATTTTGATTGCAAAACCTACAACACGTTGCCTGTGACAATACTGACGTCCAAATGGTAAATAAAGCGACAATCAGGGGCAACAGAATAAAATGAAATTGTCGAGTAGCAAGTGGGAAGCATTCGACCCACTCGGTCTGTACGATGCGATAATGTTTGTCCCACGTAATGAACTACCTGTCCGAGTTTGATATGGGTTTGTGTACATCGCTCCAACAGAGATTTCTGCAGTGTAAGATGGCAGGTTGAACTTGGTTGCAATGGTAAAAACCAATGCCTTGCTGGACAGCCTTTCTGTGCTTTCATTTGAAGATAACAGGATACTAAAAAGAACAGAGTCGTAATGTTTGTCATTGCATCGCCATCCCGATTGGTGTGGAACTTGCAGGCGGTGACGTTCAGGAACATGGACTCGCTTCTTCGCATGTCCGACATCAGCCCCCTGGGAACACAAGCGTTTGTGCTCGACGAGGAGGCCCTACTCGTCCGTGTCAGCAGTGGCTGGCAATACGTGGCTGTGAGTGCGATAAACCTCGAAATTTGCACTTGTGCGCGAAACTTATAAATATTAGCTATAAAAGTTGTAACGCTTACGCCAGCATAACCAAAATGATGATTCATGCTGCGGGATTAGTTCTTTCGTGTTATGTGTGTGTATTCGGCGTGCACTTCAGCAATTTCTGGATATGTCATTGATTTCCCTTCTGTGCCAAAGTGGAGCGCTTAAGATGTTATAATATTTCATATAAGTTTATCATATTTTTAAGTGTTATAAGTTTCATATTATTTCTAATAGGCAGTTTTGTTTCAGGCCCCGTTACCCAACGGAACTTGCCATGATATCACTAACTGACGAAATTGAATCTGCTATTGACAGCAATTGTATAGTTGGAGGTGCTTTTCTTGACCTTTCAAAAGCATTTGACTCTATTTCCACGTCATTTAATTTCAGAAACTAGAGTGAAGTGGTGTATCTGGCATCCCACTAGAACTGATTGGTAGCTATGTGCGGGATCGAGAAGATTTGGTATATGTGTCCGGTGCTTTTTGTCGCCCTCAATTCATTAACATCGGTGTGCCATGGGGTTAAACTTCGGGCCCACTTTATTTTTAATCTACAACAATGACCTTATATAGCTTATTATCTAGCTCAATTGTGCTGAATTCTATATGCGGCTGATACCACTGTATTAACTGCAGATAAACAGGTTGACTCGAAGTTCATTAATTCAAACACTGATATGAAAAACATCGTTGAAAAGTTCAAACAGAATAAATTGAAAATGAATACCTAAAAGTCATATTTTGTGGTATTTTATTGACCTAATCATATTATATTTAGAAATCTCTCTGTCTGCGTAAGCCATACTGAAATTCGCTCTACCTCTAGTGCAATATTTTTCGTGGTTGAACGTGATGATCATTTAAAATTTATTTCACATGTTTTACAGCCTACGCGGAACGCCGCATATGCCATTCGAATGTCGCTAAAAGTTCGCCCCTTCTTTTATTTTGAATTAATGTTGTAACTTTACTACTCTTTCTTTCACAGCAACATAATTTATTGAATTTCATCAGGGGGAAATACATATGCCGCTTATTTATCACCCATCCGAGATCTTCAAAACCAAGCATTAAAAATAACATTCAGCAGCTTAAGGACCAGTGCATCATCCTTACTCTGTTCAGGGAAAATTTTAGCAGTTCAGAAGCTAGCGAAATATTTTCTCGGCATTCTCTACTTCAAATAAGTGAATAGAAAACTTCCCATTCCTTTACTGAACTCAAGTCAGTTTCCTCAGGTGTCATATACTCGTTTTCTAAAGGCTTATAACTTGCTCTTACCCAATCCCACGACTAATTAGGGCAAATATACCATAAAGTTTTCGTCTGCCTCCTTGTGGAATTCTTTACCTTTGAAGATCAAAACTAGATCCCTTGTAATGTTTAAATGAGGATTGCACTCATACTTACTAAATTAATAGTCTTTAATAATATACAAAGTATGTTATTGCATATTTTCGTTGTTATGTGCATTTTTGTACGACTAGTGGTTATCTGCTTTTCGCGTATCTCAGTGTTTTTTTTTACCGTCATAATGCTTGATGGTATACTGAGTGAATGTTATTGCATTTTTTTATTTTTTTGTGCTTATCTACACATTTCATGTAACTTATATTCGATATTTTGCACCTATTTGTACATTTTATTTATCCTCCCTTTTGTATCCTTACAAGTGTTTATAATGCGTTGTGCCTCTGATAAATGATTTTTTAGTATATCTCACTCACCATCTTGTGACTTTGAGACCGCCTCTTGTATTTTATTCAACGCATGCAATTTATAACTAGTCTTTCAATTTTAAGTAAGTTTCAAACTTCAAATTCTGATTGAATTTTCACAATAATTGCGCCAAATCGTTGCTATGATCTTCAGTTAGCAGTTTTCAATCGCCGTCTAAACATGTATAGCATGATCTTGAGGTGATCAGAGTGACAACCACGGAGTGAGAACAATTCTACTGAATGAACAGCGCTCGCGCATGCGTCCAGATTATGTTGCTGACGCCACGTATGCTGTGCAAAAGCCTCGATGAGAAAACGCATTTTCTGCAGGGCTTCGTGACGTCTTGACGCATTTGTAGCGAGAAAGCGAGGCAGCAATTTATCAGGAGACGTCAGTTGTTCCGAAACACTGTTGATAGATGATTTCTAGCATCGTACTGCACACAACTAAAGCGTGGCTTACTAACTTGTGGCTTCTCCTACTTGATTTTGACGGCGATTTTCGGGAGGTGCTTTGCGGCACGGGAATACGCTAAAATTATTTGAAGAAAACAATGTAAAACACGCACAAGCTAACAAATTGACCTATGCTTTTCTTTTCAGCGTGAGGCAGGAAGGCAGCCATGACAGCTGTTGGCTGCAGGTTAGGACGCACAGCAAACTTTTGAAAACGTCATAAAACACAAGAGCTCCTCATATGCAAAGTGGCACTCCTCAGGCTTTAGGGTAAAGCCGGAGGTCTTGATTGCTGGATGTATTCTGTCAAGACGTTAGAGGTGTTTGTCGAATTTGAGGGAAATACAATGACGTCATCCAAGTGCATGAAGCATGCCTTGCACTAGAAGCCTCCTGGTATTGTATCTAGAATGCGTTAAAAGCCGCAGGTTCTGCGGCAAAGGCCTAACTTTGAACTCGAAGAGGGTGTCTTGAAGTGTAAAGTAGTCATTTCTCGGTCTTTCTCGCTGAGTTTACTTTGTGAATAGCCTCTCTTGAGATCCATCGGAAAAAAGTACTTCGCGTTGTGGAGTCGACTCACGGCAAGTCCACACGTGGGAGAGGGTAGACGTTTTTCTTTGTGAACCTCTGCAGGTCACGATAGTTGACGCAGACAAGGGCAAGCTTCCAGCCTTCTTCTTCAGCAACACCACGGCAAAAGACAATGCATTCACGAACGGCTGGCTGTTGTCATGGCGCAACATTTCATCTTGTTCCTTTATGACCTCGGGTTCCCGCCTCAAAACTTAGCTTCGGCTTTTACGGAGAGCTCGGGCACTTCCTTTGTTAAAGAACCCCAGGTAGTCTAAATTTCTGGAGCCCTTCAATACGGCGTCTCTCATAATGATGTCGGGATTTTAGGACGTAAAACCTCACATATCCATCAAATCAATCGGGCACTCTCTACGGGTTGTGATACGATGTTTTGCGATTGGTCTGTCGAGTTATGGATGATGACGGTCGAGAAGCAGTCGTTAAATTGGGTGGTGGTGGGAAATTTTTGGCATTGCATCGCCCAGCAGCCACACCTCCATGGGTTACTAATCTTAGTTTTCCAGATAAGGGTTCACGGGTCGGACCGATTTAGGTCGGTGTACTGCGGGCACTGAGGTGAGATGTACCGGTCGCGCGATGGAGATGGGGAGGTCGTCCGATTGCCCAGATTTTAAAACTGTATGAGTTCGAGCTTAGTACAACTTCTACTTCGTGAACACGGCGAAAACTAAGACAGAGTTGGAACAAAGACACGTAGCATTTTCGCAATTTATTGCGGAAGGTGCGGGTGGAAACCATTTTTCTAGCATACGCACATTGTTCGCAGCTATTCCCAAGATAGAGAAATCGACGAGGCCTACGAAATGCGTAAAGTGCACTGTAAAAAGTGTACTCGAAGGTCGGAGTAAAATGCTTGTTTTCTAGTGACCTCCCTATTGGGAGTAATTTTTGCTTTGGACCTCCGCAGTGAAAACTGGATCCAAACGCAAGGGCGAAATACCGCTGCTCCGCGGACCAAATAGTCAAGTTATTAGTTTAATCCAGCGCAGCAGCGGAGACATCGCATGCACACAGCCAGAGCTACGCTCGCGGAATCCTCGTGCATACTCTCGCCTTCGATGCTTATACACACTAAACAAAAATGACCTGAAATAACCTCAAAAACTGGTTAAACCATTTGTCCTCTAGCGCACTACCTTTCCTGGGTTTTTTTTACCACCTACTACCGAGGTAAAAATTTACTCTCGTGCTAACTGAGTTTTTGAACGTAGCGAAAGTAGTAATTATTTACCCCAGTGAGGTTTTCAGCGAGTATAGAGAGAGTAAATTTTTACTACCTTCACAAGGTTTTTGAGGTGTATACTGGGAGTTATTTCTGGTGGTAAAAAAATAAAAATGACGGGTGCATACGCCCAGATTCGACAAATTTATTGAATAGCAGAATTGATTGAATTTATTGAACGGCAGAATTGGTTACACATATATTCACATTCAGACAAACACGCACACTCAACAAATGCAGAATAATACGCCACTAGCACAGACTGCACGCGTTGCTCTACTACACTTCGACAATCCGGTATATATATAGGCACGACTTTTTGACCGGCAATGTAGTACCAGTAGGAGAGCTCTTTTTTTGCATCGATTAACAACAACGCTTGAAGGTGCAAGTGTAAGCTTCAGGTGGGCTGCAGGGCACTAAATGTCACACCAACCTTTCATTATAAATCTACACGATCTCACTTTTTTGATTATCCAATAATTGCTTGGCACACCGGGCACTTTGCCCCACGCGTATTAGCACTGCAGATACACAAGTCCACAAAATATACCTAAGTACGCACAAAGCATGGTAGCTCAATGATTTTCATTCAGCGACGGTGCACAAACACAGTAGCAGCACGTATTCATCACAACGGGCGTAGAAGAGCGGTCCACGCCTGCATACAAGCTGCTTACCGATGGCGTTCTAGGCCTTTTTGAGGAGCACGACTGTCCGATAAAACACAGCTGGCGATCACAGAAAACATATCCTGTGCGAATTTCGTCGTCATTTCAGACACAAATGAACACGTCACTGCTATCTTACGGGGACGGGGCGGTGTATGCACACTTGCAACGAAAGACCACCATCCGGGTTTTCTTCGTGCTCACGGGCAGCCTCTTGTTGTTTCCGTCTGCCTTGTATTGGCTTCGCGCTACATGTTTGAGAACAGTTGGTGCATGAGGTGGGCAATTC